ACAAGCTAGAAGGGATTGGGGCCCTATATTCAATCTCCTCAAACAGATCAACTGTCAGCCAAGGATTTTGTATCCTGCAAAAAGTAGGTTTCAAAAATGAAAGAGAAATCATGTATTTCTCATACAAGCAAAGACTGGGGGAATTTGTCACCACTAGGCTAATTCTATAAGAAACACTCAGAGGAGTTCAAAATGTTAAAACAGTGAGAACTCACTCACCCCCACCATCCATTCAAGGACCCACCCCTGTGACCTCCCATGAGATCAGTCTTCTAACAACGGGGATTAAATTTCAACATGGGATCCGGAGGGGACAAATATCCAAACTACAGCAGATAGAAAACACAAAAATTTGATGGACATAAAAACAATTATAGCAGTTATCACAAATATGGAAATTTACAATTCCTAAGGAAAAAAATTAATTCAACAGATTCAACAGTTAAAGAGTCTGTTAGACTTATGATCATTAAAAAAAAAAATAGTACAAAATTTTCCCACAAAAGCTCAGAAGAATAAGATGGTTTTAGTAGCAAGTTCTGCCAAACCCTCAATAGGTACAATTTGCTCCCATAGAGCAAAGAAAAAAAAAAATTTCCTAACTGATTTTATGAGGGTGTTATAGTCTTGATATCAAAAATACGAGGTGCATATGGGAAATAATATAGGCGAATTTTACTTATGAGCATAGATACAAAAAATCCTAAAAAAAAATCAGCAATTTCAACATATTTTAAAAATTGACTTAGGCCAGGCTCAGTGGCTCAGCCTGTCATTCTAGCACTTTGGGAGGCCGAGGCGAATGGAGTGCCTGAGCCTGCAGGTTCAGTCCAGGCAACTTGGTGAGATCTCGTCTCTGCAATAAATCAAAAATTAGCTAGGTGTGGTAGCTCTTGCATGTACTTCTGGCTACTTGGAAGGCTGAGGTGGAAGCATCGCTGGAGCCCAGCAAGCAGGTCGATGCTGGATGGCCGTGAGCATGCCACTGCACTCCAGCCTGGGTGGACAGAGTGAGACTCAATTCAAAGGAAAAAAAAATTAAAATAAATAAATAAGACATAAAAAATTGAATTAAAAGGAAACATTGGGGAGAAACTTTATGATATTGAATTTGTAAGTGATTTCTTGGCTATGACACAAATAGCACAGGCAACAAAAGAAAAAATAGAAAAGTTGGATTCCATCAAAATTCTAAATTTTTGTGCCTCAAAGGACACCATGAACAGAGTCAAAAGGCATCCACAGAATGGGGGAGGATATTTGGGAATGACACATCTGGTAAGGGATTAATATCTAGTATATATAAAGAACTGAGACCCCCACAACAAAAAACCATCCCATTTACAAAATGGGCATTGACTTGTGTAGACCTTTCTCCAAAGATCGACAAACCCAAATGTCCATTGATGGTAAAGAAAATGTGTATATGTACAATGAAATGTTATGCATCTTCAAGAAGGAATAAAATTGATGCATGTTATGACATAGATGAACCCTGGAGTATGCTAAGTAAAATTAGCCTGATACAAAAGTATAAACATCGAATGATTCATTTCTTTGAAGTACTTGGGACAGTCCAATTCATAGAGAAGAAAGTGGAATGGTGGTCACCAAGGGCTAGGGGCAGGGGGAGAAGGGGGAGTTATACTTTGATGGACACAGAGTTTCAGTTTGGGACGATGTGAAAGTTCTGGAAAATGACAGTGGTAATGGTTGCATGAAAACATGCATATATTTAATGCTACCGAACTGTATACTTAGGAATGATCAAAATGACCAATTTTATAAATATATCCTTCTTCTCTTCCCAAATTGTGACTATACAATACCCAGCACAAAGCAAGACAAATAAACCCATGGAAAGAAGCTTGGTAAATGACAAAGACAGATATATCCATGAGGAAAGGGGAGATTAGTCAATGAATTGTGCTGGGACCGCTGGTTATCCTTATGGGGAGAAATAGAATCAGGTTCCTAGTCGTCAAAATAAATGTCACATGGTTTAAAGCCCTTAAAGAACACATTTTAGACAGAATCTTAAAAAAAAAAAAAGTGATAGAGGGTACTAATATTTAAAACCCCAAATATCAAAAGACACAAGGTAAAAAAGGGTAAGAGCTTGAGGAAGGATATTTATAATCCATGTAAAGAGAACAAAGGAATGGTAGGCGAATATAAGTTTACTACTTTTATACAGAAAAAGACATTCCAGTAGAAGAGGTGTGATAATTCATAGAGGGAGAAATAAGAATGACCAATGAACACTTGGATTCTCACAAGTAATTGAATGAGATATGATCTCTCAGAATTGAAACAAGAGAAAAATCATTTCCTACTTCTTGGTGTGGTGAATTGTGATGTCTACGAACACCGAGTAATCTACAGTGTGTGGGGATATGGGACTTATAAATTGCCCTTAGGAGAGTAACATACTCCTCATCAGTGGCGCCTCTGTGGAAAGCAGCTCGTTCCCTCGCAGGGAAGCCAGAGTTCAACACGCTCCACAGAAACCAAGCACATGTGTATGAGGGCGCAGGCAGCCATGAGACACTAATTTGTAGATAATACAAAAGTGGAAATAACTCCCTCTCAAAGAACTGATTAAGTCTGGTTTATTTACAACAACAAAAAAAACTGTACAGTGATGAAAATAATCTACATTTGCCAATCTAGATACATCTCAAAAGCCACGGGTAGTTGTAAAACAATATGCACATGATCACATTCATATAAAATGTTAAGAGTCAAAACAATACTTAACAGTCTATGGATAAACACGACAGCAAGAATATAGACACACGAAAAGTGCAAACACTTTACACTGATCTTAGGATGATGGCTGACTCTGGGGATGGAGGGAAGGTGAGGATTAGACAGATTAGAGGGCATCAGAAAGGAAGGATCCAGCGGAATAAAGCTGATCTAGAACGGAGTTGGCATATTTTTTTGGTAAAGGGCCAGAAAGGAAATATTTTAGGCTTTGCAGGCCAAGGGGCAAAATCAAAAATATTATATAGGTTCCTTATTGGGGCTCAAAGTTAGTGTCTCCTATCACCAAAACTGAATCCGAGTGTTTGATTTTTAAAAAATTATTTAAACACATCAAAACCTTCACGCTTGCAGACCACCCAAAAGCAGGCAGTGCTGGATCTGGTCCGTGGGCCACAGTCCTGATCCGCTTTCTGTGGTGACGGAGATGCTCTCCATTTCCCTGTTGCCCAGTGGGGTCGCCCTACCCGCATGTGGCTGGTGGTTCCTTGAGTGGTTACTGGGACTGGGAAACTGAATTTTTAATTTTAGGTTAGGACATCGGCTCCAGGGTTTCCATGAGTAGAAAGAATAGGTATAAAGCGAGAGGTGAAAACAGAGCAGGAGACTGACGGGAGAGCAGGACTGTGAATCAGCACTTGGGGGACACGCACATGCGGGGTGAGGCAAAAGACGGTGCGACTGATATGGAATGAAGGGCATGGAGAGGCAGTCAAGAACGTCTGAGATCGGGACTGGAAGAGCTGCCTGACAAAAGCAGACTTGGTTGGTCCTGGACGGAGGCTGCACAATGGGAAGCTGGAGAGCCATGCCAGGAGGGGGTTGGCAGGGAGGCAGGGAGTTTCTTGGCAATGACGCAGAGAACACCGTGGAGCGGAAGAACTGTCCAAGGACGGGAAACATGAAGGCCAGGGAGACCGTCAGGTAGACAGTCAGCCTTTGATAGTTAAGAAACAGAAGGAAAACAGTCGCTAGTTTATGCAACTTTATTGCTCTTTAAAAATAGATACCTTACAGTGCTTTAAAATGTAAAGAGATATAAGGTATATATAAGTATACATGTCAAATTTTTTGAACTAATTCCCTGTCACTGATTGGTAAAAAAATACAGAAAAATCCTTATTTACACATTTAACATTTGAGATTTTCAATGAAATTTACAGCTATCCTGAAAGTCCATGACATCTGTGATTTTACTAGGCATCACTCTGAACAAGACACTGAGGCCTGGGATTCAGAACCTGTCGCTTACCTAGTCCCTGAGCCTAAACCACCAATAATTTCTCAAGTCATAATCCCATACACATTTCTTTTTTTTTTTTTTGCTCAGGCAATCCACTCACCTCAGCCTCCCAAAGGCACGGGATGACAGGCTGAGCCACCGAGCCCGGCTCCCTACACATTTCATCTGAAAATTAAGTATTAGTGGCATAAGAGATTCATAAATGACTCAGGGTATATCCTCCTGTGAGGGTCAAGAATTTACTTCACTTCACTCGGCCGGGCTTGGTGGCTCAGCCTGTCATCCCAGCACTTTGGGAGGCAGAGGCAAGTGACTGCCTGAGCCCGCAGATCCAAGACCAGCCTGGGCAACTTGGCAAGACCTTGTCTCTACAAAAAATAAATAAAAAAAAAATTAGCTGGACATGATAGCGTGTGCCTATAGTTCCAGCTACTTGGAAGGCGGAAGCAGAGGGATCACCAGAGTCCAGTGGGTTGGCACTGGGGTGGCCATGAGTGTGCCACCGCACTCCAGCCTGGGTGACGGAGTGAGACTCCAACTCAAAAAAAAAAAGAATTTACTTCACTCATATGCTATATAAACGGTTTCAAAAAAATCCCCAGCCTTTCTTAGAAAATAATTCACTCTTGTGTCCACCCACTTAAGGGAAAAAAAAATATACTCGAAGCTTTTAATTAATATTTGAGTGATCATTTTAACTTCTAAAATGTTGGTATAAGATGCATTTTGACTAAATTAAGGGGCTTAGGCAGCACAAGAAATCTAAAAAATTTTAGTGCTTGAATCCAACTATTTATATTTGGAAGAAAAAATAAATTAAACTTACTAAAGGCTTAAGATAAGATATCCCACTTGAAGCCTAGTTTTTAGAAATGGTGACGATGTCGGGTCCTGTCCAGGGGATGCTCTGGCGCAGCTCGACCTGCTGTGCCTCTGTGCGAGCAACAGGTGGGGTGGAGGAGGGGTCACACGGTCGCCAACAACAGCGTCACTGTATTTGCTTCACACGCTTTTTAGAATGCTGCCGCGAATCCCTTTTCTGCTTGAAAATAGGAGAATCCAAAAACCCCAGATCTGTGAAAGGGTCTCCTCTCCTCAGCTTCCTGGAAGGGCGAAAAGAGACCTTGGGTGTAGCATAAGCAACCCAGTGACCACCAACTCTTCAGTGTGAAGTTCCTGGAAACACGGCAGTCTTAATGTTTCCACTTCAGCTTTTTACATGAGACTTTGTATTTCAACTCACTCTTGAACACAGCTCCAAGACCTCATCCCCCCCACGTAGCATTAAACAGGGGCCCCCACAAATCACTCACGAAGCAAGGGTGGGCTCCTTGTAGTTCACGCTGGCTGTGCACCTGCGCTTAGGCAGAGACGTGGCTGGGCTTGTTTTACTCTTTTCCGGAGACAGAGAAAGTCTTTTGGCTGTCGTTACAGGAGGCAGGGTGACATTGGTGACATCCCTCAGGCAAAAATGAGGTGACTGGAGAGTTTCAGGTGGTGTACCTACAAAAACAACCGTACTAAATGTGGTTCAAAAAAACCCACAGGAACTCCAATTACCCTCAAGTCTATATACCAACTGTATACAAAATCCAGCCTTTAATAATAAAGATTTTTTAAGACATTTTCATCACTTTTTTCCTCTCTTCCTTTCAAACCAGACAATTTTGCAATAATAATCACAGTAGATGTGAAGAATTGATATGACAGAACGCTTTACTAAAAGGTAAAATTCTTCCGGGATAGCTTGGGCATAATAAATTAGTTTAACTGGAATTTCATTTTAGGCACGACTTGCCGCTTAGAATCATCAAGGCCTCTCTATCTCTTTCAGTACAAAAGTGGATCAATGAGAGGCTTTCTATTGTCTCATAAAGCCACTCAACTCCTTTTGTGAGATAAATGAGAACTCTAAATCTCAGCCTCCGTGTAAACCAGGGGAAAAGGGCTTTCTGCTGGTAAAGCTGGTGCGTTGGCAAATTGTCCGGTGTTTGCCTACCACAAGCACCCAAGTGACTGCACTTTGGAGCGGCATCCACACCGGAGGCGGATGTCCAGCACACGGCGCAGACACTGCAAGACAATCTCCTCAAACAGCTTGAGAGCAGACCATAACCCCGACAGCTGACCTGTAGCCAAGGTGACCTTCTGCTGACCGCCCTGGGGTTATCTGGGTTTCCAAGTCTTTTTTGTCCTCACGTAGGTTGTACTCTACTGATTGTTCCAACTTGCAGTTTTAGAATTATGTCTAAGCAACAATATCAGATCCACTACTCTCTTCTGGAATAATGCCTCTCAGATTTCCATGTGTGTGTGAGTCTTCTTGTCAAACAGCTTGTTGAAAAGATGCAGACTGGGCTCGAGGGTCCGGGGGGGCCTGAGATTCTGATTTCTAGGCAGGGTCCAGGTAGTGCTGATACCAGGAATCTGGGACCAAACTCTGAGTGATACTATATTTAGATCTTTTTTTCTTTTAAAAAGTCATTATGAGCATCTCGAAATGTACACAAAAAGAGGGTGGCCACAGTATAATGAGCTATGGGTTACCCAGCTTCAAAAATTACCAACACTGCCCATACTGCTTGATTTATCCAGACATCATTAGGGCGTATTTTTAAAATGTTATTTGCACGCCACCACTGCCTAACTGGTCAACTTGGGAAGTCGCTTCACATTTTCAGGCTTTAGTGCCCTTATAAACAAAATAAGCGTGGTGACACCTGCTTCACAAACTTGTTCTGAGGATCAAATAAAATAATGTGACAATATTTTGAGACTGACACGACTTGACTGTACGTGACGGTTTCACCACATGATCTAAATTTCCTGGATGAGGCCTTCCATGGACAGTGCGGGCTGTATCCCCAGCCCTGGAACCAGGCCCCCTTCCATCTAATACGAACAAGACTTTCTGAGCCAGGGTGTTAGATGTCTCCTAAGTGTCTGGCGGAAGAGTCCTAAGCCCATCATTGAGGAAACAATTCTTGGCCTTATCAGGCCACCTTCGCTAACTAGAAAATTATTTCAAGTCACAGTTCTTGTCACATTAAACATAAGGCAAAGCCACTAAAATGACAAGTCCCTGGATTCGAGCTTGATTCCACTTTCAGGGGCTATTTCAGGCAAGGGCGTAAAAGGGATTCTTATTCAACCCAGCTCCACAGAAAAGTCCCCCTGCCCCCGGTGGCCGCCTTCGTGAGCATGAAATGCTGTCTTTCCCCATAATAAGCGATGCCTGCGTCACAGAAGATCTAAATTAGCGAGATGTAGGTTAGAGCCACGCAAGTGACCCCGTCTATCAGACCCATAACCCCCCAGAGGGCAGGCGGCAGTCCCAAGCTCCCCCAGAGAAGCGGACGGTCGGAAGCACCATGCCTGCGCGAGAGCGCGACCACCCAGCATCGGCTGGAGGCCAGGACGCGACAAGCGCGCAGGCCACTTACCGGGCCCCTTGCCGGCAGGAGCTGCCGCCGGCTGCGGGCCCTCCGCCGCCCGCTCCGCCG